TATTGTTGTTTTTATGGGATTAGTTTTCCAAAAATATGGAATTTCTCCACCAATAAACACCTCCCGAACTCTAATCACTCTGTGTCCTCTCCTCAGTGGGTTCAGTTATGTTGATCTGGTAGAAGGGGTGAAGGATGGGCACTTCTATGCCCTAAAGAGGGTCCTGTGCCATGACCGTGAAGGTCGTCAGGAGGCTCAGACAGAGATGGAGATGCATCAGTTGTTCAACCACCCCAACATCTTGAGCCTGGTTGCACACGCCTTTGTTGACCGTGGAGGCAAGACTGAAGCCTGGTTACTTCTGCCGTATATTAGAGTAAGTTGGTGCAGCAGTTCATACGAGCGGAATAACCTGTAGGGGAAAGGTCTGGTTCTGATATCTCGTTGTGTTTGTGTGAACAGAAAGGCAGTCTGTGGTCTGTTCTAGAGAAGCTAAGAGACAAGGGGAGCTCGATGCCTGAAAAACTGATTTTGCAAATCCTGCGTGGCATCTGCTCTGGACTCAAGGTCATTCATGAGAAAGGCTACGCACACAGGTAACCTCTCTCCACATGCACGCACATCCAACAAATATTTACATGCACGAGACCAGAGTCTGTCGCTGACTTGGAGTGTGACTTCTTGAGTCCTTTTTGGTCTCAGTGCACACTCTCTATTGTGATCGAGAAGCAGAAACTGATCTCAGGACTCTTCTGTACTTTGTCAAAGTAAAAGTTGCTGCTTGACTGAATTTCTCACGAAAGATCTTTAAAATCTGAGTCGTTTTTTTAAAATGAATGTGGAATGGACTCCTAGTTTATAAAGATTATACAGTATTTCAGTTCATATCACAATGAAGGTATTTTTCATAATGTGGTTGATAATTCAACTTTGAAACTGTTTACTGTATATTGTCAACAACATTTAACTTAACATAGAAATTGAAAATAGTTGTAATTTTAATGTGAGCCCAATCAGTGAGATACTATTTGCCAGACTTTTAGCATTTAAGTTATCGTTACTTAACCAAACTTTTCCAAATGCCAACTTTTCTGTATTTCTTTTTTATATTAACACAATTAAATTGAAGAGATCTGAACACATGCTATGTGTCTGCTATCATTTTACAGAGACCTGAAGCCCACAAATGTGCTTCTGGATGAGGATGACAGGCCGGTTCTGATGGACCTGGGCTCTATGAACCATGCCAGAATTGAGGTAAGGGTGCAGTGTCTATTAAGAGTGTGTACAATTTTACTGATAACTTTAAAAGCATAAAGGTATCGGTCAAACACCAAAGCCCAAATGAGTTTAACTGAAGCCTGAGTTCTGTCATATCCCCACAGTGTGCATTGCCGCCAGCTTATTTTGTCTTTTAATATTAAAAAATAACTTCGAACAATAATCACAGAGGGATTTTTAGTATGAAATTTAAGATATGTTCACTCGCATGTATTTTTATGACTTAATCTATTTTAGACTGAAGACTCGTCTGCAGCATTGGGTGATATCCAACCACCAACTACTACAACAATATGCATATATAACTATAACATTTAGTGGCAATCATCAGGTCCATGTGTAGATACTGTTAAATACTCAATATACTTGACATCATTTAAAAAAAAAAAAAAAGGTTCAGATTTTTGCCTCTAGATGGCAGAAAAACATTTTTAATGCCAGTGAGCCACACATTTAAAATATCATGCTTCACATCCTTAAATTCTCAGAATATAGCTTACTGATGTAAAAATGCAACAGATGCTATAACAAAAAGGAGCACACGTGATGTTATTATCTCAAAGCGCAGTTCATTGTCATTGATTTGTGTTTTTGTTGGCTGGAGGAAGTTTGTCACGTTTGTTCAATGCTTCGGACCATGTTTGTTGCTCTGGCTCACTTTTTATCTTGGCCCATATTCAGGATCTTTTACATTGTACTGCAGCAAGTTTATTTTTATCACATTTGTGGTTTTGGAGCTTCCAACACTCATTATGCCCCTTGAAACATCCATATTGGACATTTGTCATTCTGTTTTTTTTGTTTTTTTTTGTCCATCTACACAATAATAATCATAATAATCGCCATAATTGCAACAGAAAGAGTTTGTCACGTGTTGCCATAGAGTAAGTATTTGTGTGACATTTCACACAGCTGTCTCTAGGCTTATCTTCTCAACGTTAACTAAATTATCCTCTGTTGTAATCTTAATATTTCAGGTTAGAGGAACCAGAGAAGCCATGACCATACAGGACTGGGCAGCCCAGCGGTGCACCATTTCCTACAGGGCTCCTGAACTCTTCAATGTAGAGAGCCACTGCATTATAGATGAGCGCACTGATATCTGGGTAAAGCCTTGTATTTTTTATCCGTTTAGGCTTGTTTATGTTGTGCATGTTGTTTTCTATAGTCACCAGGTCTCTGAAACCAAGTGCTTAACTACTTCTTTATCTCATCTCTTTATGTCTTCCCATACTCCTCCAGTCGCTTGGCTGTGTGCTTTACTGCATGATGATGTTGGAGGGGCCATATGACATGGTGTTTCAGAAGGGGGACAGTGTTGCCCTTGCTGTCCAGAATCCAGTGGCCATCCCACAGTCTTGCAGGTCAGTCTTCAGACTATGACACTGTGCTACAGTATAATCTGAAGAAAGTTTACCGCCGAAGTATCCGTTTCTGTTTCTGCCCTGGATAGTGGTGGAAAAAAACCCTCCAACTGATTTTAAGGACGTATTGCATACTACCAGCCATCGAACAAACTCCATTAACCTGTAAAATAAAAATAAAAATTATTAAAGACCGTTGCGGCCAAGATTTCATTCCACTGGAATTTTCTTTGTATTTACTAATAACCATTGTTAGTCTGTAGCTAAGTTAATAGGAGTCTGACTTCAGTAGGCCAATGCACAATAATACGAAACCAAAGTTTTCACAACAAGCTGATTGTTGTGCGAGTCACAGTGAAAAGAAACCAGCTGAATATGGATCAAGCTTAAGTTGTGCTAATTTGCTGTCTGTTTGTCTTGTGCCCAGTTACTCACAGGGCCTTCAGATGCTGCTGAGCTCCATAATGGTGTCAAATCCCCAGGAGAGACCAAACATCAACTGGGTTCTTGACCAGGTACAGGACCTGCAGAGTCGCAGCCCCAACACCCAAACCAACATGGTCTAATCTTGCATGGTGCACTGGATGTGGGACACCTTTGCACACATAAAGGAACATCTCTTAATTTGAGCTTGAAAATATTTCTTTTATTTATTGATTTTAGTGTAAAAGCTTAGGTACAGACTTTGACTCAGCTTGGGGGGCTTGGCAACAACAGCTTTTAGTTTGAATGATCCTATGTAGCCTGTGTGTAACAGTGGAGCCTTTTAGTTCTATATAGACAAATTATCTGAAGATACTAAAAGGCCTTAAATGTAATTTGACCCTGCAATATAATGGTTGTCAAATCCTTTCTCTAATAATGAGCTTGAAATGCCTTTTCATTTTCTAATAAGGAAGTTGCTTTGGCTTGTATTCTGGAATAGTTTGACGTTTTTAAAAATGCTCTTAATCGCTTTCTTAGTGGAGTTACATGAGAAGATGACTATCACTCTCATTCTGCGTAAAGCTTGAGCCAGCAGCCTTTTAGCCTAGCTTAGCATTAAGACTGGAAAGAGAGGGAAACAACTAGCCTGGCTCTGTCTGAGGGTAACAAAATCAAGCACATATTGTGTTTGTTTAATCCGTACAAAAACCAAAATGTACAAATGACAAGCGGTGGTTCTTTACGTGTCGTTATTGTTTTACAGATTAGTTTTTTTTATGGATTAAACACACAAGACATTAAGTGTTAATTAGTGAGTTTTAGAGGGGCTGTAACAGAGATTGTTCTTCCTTTTGACAGAGGCTAGCTGTTTATTTTCCTTTTAAAAAAAGAAATTGTTTCTTTTTTTTCTTTTTAAACTGTAGTTTTCATTTTTAATAAGAAAAGGGATCACATAAAAGCTTTGCCAAACTTTCTGGTCAATGAAAGTTACCCGAGTTCAATACATATCTGATTACATTCCCAATCATAAAAGAATATGTTATCTATTTTTTTTATCTTTTATTCCTTAACTTCCTTAACTTTTCCCCAACATCTTGTGGTTACACACGTTAGCTGTAATCATCAGTATACAACTTCACCTTCAGCTTTTTTCCACGCCTTCACTCACAATGTTGAGGCAGTGCTCCTCACCTGCAATGCTGCATTTGAACACACAGAGGTGCCCCACCATCACAATCCCCTGATGCGCATATTCACATGGTGATTGGCCATGTTTCTGTCTGTACAGTGATAATGTCTCTTTGTAAAACACAGCAAAGAGTATCTGATTACACAAAGAAAGAGAAGGGTCAAGTGTTACTGTCACATACCTAAACAATAGGAAACAAACTTGTAATCAGTTTAAAGAATGACATAGAAATGTTTTTATTGACTGTACTTGAAAGGCATTGTCATAACTGTCATTCCAGTTTAACGTTTTTTTAATTCACTTTTCTCTGTTTTGTGTTTTTAAACAGTGTTTTCAATTTCCGCCTTGCTTGTGTTAAATTCTGGGTTTCCTGTCATGTATGAATGTGGTCTCACACTTTTGTTCTCTCAGGGTTCACCTACATCTCAAAGGGTCTGACAGTCTTAAGTAGTAGACCTATATGGTACTTTTTAAAACTGTTGTTAGATTAAAAAAAAATGCTTTGGGCATTTAAGTTAAAATTAATGCTTTGGTGACTCTGTAATGAAGTGATATTGACCTATAATAGAACTAACTAAAATTCCTTGATAGTTAACTTATACAGTTAATTGTTGCATTGGCAATTGGCATAATGTTTAAATAATTATCTTTTTAAAGCTTTAAGTTTGTAAAATGATTATGACTCACTTTTGTGTGGTTGTTAATGGAGAACTAATCCTGGAATCATGCCATCGGTAAACTAAGGATTTTTTGTAAAGGACTAGTGTGTAGGATTTAGTGGCATCTGGAGGTATAGTTGCAGATTACAACATAATCCCCATTCAAAGCATGTAGGAGAAACTACAGTGGGCCAAACTTGCAAAAGGCCCCATCTAGAGTTGTTTTTTTCTGTTCTGGGCTACTGTTGAAAGATATCAGTCCAACCTGGGAGGGCCTGCGCCCTCTATACATAACAACTCATTCTAAGGTAACGAAATCACAACAATTCTTATTTTCAGGTTATTGTACACTAATGAAAACATATGAATATTATATTCAATTTCTGCTAAATGATCCTCCTGAATGTTACACACTGGACCTTTTTTTTAAGTGTACTGGTTCACAGATATTAATGTAGGAGTGAGGGTGTGTTATTTAATTATGGAAAATTCTGTTAAAATTCTGTCTCATCTCTTATTCACTGCACAGTATAAGATAAATATTAAATATGTAGCTCTCTGTATACAGTTTTTCTATAATTGTGAAATAAAACAGCATCCTACAGTAAAAAGTAAAAGTGAGAATCAGTGCTCAAATACAGTTGATATACACACTATGGCCAAAGGTATTTAGTCACACCAACTACATAAAATCAAGTAAACATCTATGAAATCTGCACTGACAAAATTTAAGTTAAAAATCATTGGTTCTGTGTCAAAACTCACTACTACTACTACTACTAGTTCCAGACTTCCTTGGGAAACACTATTTGTCAGGACCTTCACGACATGGGTTTTCATGGCTGAGCAGCGGCACTCTAAGATCACCATGATCATTTAAAACACACTGCCATTGGACCCTGTAGCAGTGGAAACTTGTTGTCGTTTTTGGGTGATGAATCACACTTTACTGTCTGGCAGTCTGATGGATAAATCTTGGTTTGGTGGATGCCAGGAGAATGCTCTCTACCTCTCTTAATCCACTGTGCCAACTGAATCGTCGTGGCAGACAGCGGTCTCGAGGTTTCTGTCTCTTAAAGGGACGTTTTTCAATGGCGCTGTCGCCAAGTACGCTCTATACCTGCTCTATTAGTGTCCTGAGATAAGTTTTGTTATGATTTGGC